CCCCAAAACCCCAAAACCCCAAAACCCCTATTCTGATGCTTGTTTTTAAATAAGTAATAAATAATTAAACTATTTAAATAATAATCAAATATGTCAGTCAGCACTTGCGCCCTTTCAGGACTTCCTCTAGAAAATCCAGTTGTGTGCGTCAAAACAGGGTAAATATAATTCGTTCTTATATATTTATCATAGCCATGTTTTTGAAAGAGATCTAATAAAGAAACAGATTTAGCATACAGGATAATGCCCACTTACAGGAGTAGATCTATCTTTTGAACAAGATTTTATTGAGCTTCAGGTATCACAGTCTGCTCTACCAAAGCCTCCAGTAGCTAATAACATCCCAGGTGTTCTCCAAATGCTCTAATCTGAATGGGATAATGTTATGCTAGAAGTATTCTAGCTTAGAAAGAGTTTGGAGCAAACTAGAAGAGAATTATCCCAGGCCCTTTATTAACATGATGCTGCATGCAGAGTTATTTGCAGACTCATGAAAGAAAAAGATGAACTATAAAATGTTTTAAAGTTAACATCAGATAAAATGGAGTAATACAAAAGTGAGCTCGCATCTTAAGTTGTGTAAGGAGGCAGCTCTGGGTAAGGATACGTTAGAGAAGAGAAAGAGGATGAAGGAATATATAAAGAATTGGTTAATAGAATGGATAAACTTTCAGATGAGCTATTAGCATCAAGGAAGCACTTTAAAGCCCCAGTGTCATACCCTAAGCTAGAGGAATACAAGTAACTAAAGTAAATAGGGTCATTTCCTCTTCATGAAAGCACTAAGCCTGGTATATTAGATTTGGACATTAATTCTCTTGACGACAGATTTATTCTGACAGGTGGCAGAGATTCAAAGGTCATTCTTTTCGATAGGAAAGAGGGCTAAATATTGAAAAAACTAGAGCCTTTTGACTCAAAGAAAAAGCCAGCAGCAACAGTTGCTAAATTTGTACCAGGATAAAACGAGCTATACAGTTTAGTTGGATCAGCAGATGGCGAAGCAGCTATTTGGGCATTAGATTACTAAAACAATCATTATCAAGAAAAATACGCTTTCAAGCATCATAAAAGTGCTATTACTGGAATGACTTTCTAAGCTCTCAACGAGTATGCAGTAGTTGGATCCAAAGATAAGACTTGGAGTTTCCACAGTTTATTCCAAGGAGTAAGACTCGCAACAGTTTAAGAACAAGAAGAAGTTCACTCTGTTGAATTTCACCCTGATGGATTAGTCTTAGCAGTAGGATTAAAGAATGGAGCTGTCAAGATTTATGATATTAGAACATAGCAGTCTGTACTAGAATTCGCAGATTTCAAAGGTTAAGGAGAAGTGAAGAGCTTATCTTTCTCGAACAAAGGTGTTCAACTTGCTGCTGGATGGTCAAATATGAAAGAGTGTAAAGTATTCAGCTTAAGAAAGACTAATGAAGTGCTAAGTCCACTAAATACTACTGAATCGAACTCAACATAAGCTGTTTCATTTGATCATTATGGTGGGTATTTGCTAACAGGATCTGGAAATGTGGTTAACATTTATGGCGGAAAATAATTGAGAGAGCCAACACATTCTATTGTTGCTCACGAGGGAATCATTAATGTCGCTAAGTTTTCACCTCAAGGAAGTCTTGTAGTGTCAGGAGCAGAGGACAGATTTTTAAAAATTCACTCTTTATGATAAACCATAATTAATTCTCAAAAAGTTCACGATTCAAATAAAAATTATAGGGGTTTTGGGGTTTTGGGG